GCCTGCCACACGGGGAACATCTCCTTTCAGGAGCGTCTCTGCTTTTTGCTGTTTCTGTAACTACTGCACAGCAATGGTACAAAAGTCTTGAGTGTCAAAGCCTTTCCCTTTCCAAAAAAGGCTTCCCATCCCTTAGCTGAGATGGTTTTGTGCTCATGTTCAATTACTGAAACGTGACTGTAGCAACAGCAMGCAAAGCAAGACTTCCTTTTGTCTCATTGCCACTTGCTAATTAAACCTAACCAGAAAAAGCTTAATACTTACATAATTTGAAACACATTCCTGGTGGAGACATGGTGAGCAACAGGTTCAATGTGGAAATGACATATATGCACAGACACACCCCAGACCCACTGAAGGCAGCTASAGACTCAATTTCTTTGCCTTGTAATGTGATCAAACCTAGCTCTGTCAGGAAAGGCTCCATTTTAGCCTCTCCATGGCTGATAAGAAACAGATGCTAAACGTCTCCTAATATCCTAACACACAGAACTATTCCTTAAGAAGATTTTATACAACTAGGAAAGAAATGCCAATATGAAAATGGAGTCAAAACCAATTTAGCAGGTTATCATTAAGAAGTATTAAGGAACTTCAAAGCCAGAGGCAAACCACAATACGGCAGTTATCCAGACACTGGCTGGAGGGCCTAAACATCCCCRATACCAGCAGACAAGTCAAATCATGAGCTGAGGAACACCAGCAACATGAAGAAAACCCTATTGTGCTGGAAAATCTTCCCTTTCTTTTCAGGTGATTTTCCTGGTGCTTTAAGTTCCTGGGCCGGGTCTGCAGATTGCTGACTATCAGACAGCAAAGAGACTCTTTCAGGTTACAGAACTCTGATTCACCCGAGGCAAACCAATGAAAACACCTCTGGCTTCAAACTAGACTGTATAACCTTTTAGTCAATGGCTGAACCCATGCCTGATTTTGTCAGGATAAGAAAGAAACCAAGAGAGACCAAAAGAAAAAACTTTCAAAGATTTTTTTTTTTCAGAAAAGAAAATTTCCTGGTAAAAAACCCAACTCAACAAGCCTCCCAACACTGAAGCAATGTTCTCTTTATGACCCTGTCTCTCCCACCCCCTTCCCTGTGGTCTGCAGCACTGTTTATTCTGCCTTTCACTTTATATAATGGGTCTGGTAGAAGTGTTCTAAGTACACATTCGATTTGCAATAAAAACTGCTTTAATAAAGAGATCTAACTTGACGGAAGGTCAACTAAAAGACAACAATTCGCATAAACCAAAACCTCCTGTGTAAATAAACAGGATTTGCAGGAGCCTCAGGATGTCAGACAGTCTGGCCAAGACTGCAGAGAGGGAGCCTGCCCATGAAGAATTAYGTTTGGGGATGCACAAGAGTGGAGCCTGCCAGCTTGGCTCTAATGGCTGCAGCAGCCTCCCACCTTGGTGAAACCCAGAGAGCCACGTGCAGAAAGAAGACAATGGCCAAGGCCACCTGCAGAGCCCTCGTCCAGCACGTGCCCCAAATAAAACAGGGTTCCAGCCCACCCCAGCACACTCGGGCTTGGTCCAGGTCCGGCACTGCACTCTGCAGTGATCCYGAGGCAGCAAATGCAGGCGCGAGGGCAGCGGAATTGGCTCGCAAAACGAAGCTCGCGGCGAAGCACTTTGGGCAGACGCAGATGGAGGAAGCTCGATCTTGGCCACCGCTGCTAACAATGCATCAAGGAGCAGATGAGGCGCCAGCAACATTGCTGGGCTGCTAGCTGTGGTAAACAAAAACAGCCCTAAACCCCCTGTGYGCAAACACCCACTACACTGTTTTCTCCATATGCTCCCCTCCAGCCAAGCAGCCTTCGGGTCTACTGCACCCAGGCTGGAGTGTCAGCCATTGGCCCCTCAGCCCGTGGGCCTGGGCAGGCAGCAGGAGAGCAGGARGGTGCAGGAGCAGAACTCCTGAGCGGCAGCCAACTGCCCACTGCTGCTTCCCAGCCAGCAACCCACTCCTTCTGGGAGACAGAACATTACCCCTTCCTTCTCCAAGAGTCACCTCGGCGTGGTTATTTCACTCCAACGTGCCTTTTACAAGTGAGCTTCGGTTTCAAGACCTTACGCATGCTCTGCTCCCCTCTAGGAATCGCAAATAAATCACCAATTACTATGCATGAATAGAGAGAGGAAGAGGGTAATGAGTCTATGTACATATATACATATGCAATGTTTGAACACAAAGAACCGTAAATTGCATTCACAGGTGGTATTCTGGAGACTGCAAGAGACTCAAAAGCAGAACTATTCATAAACCAGTTGCTGACATGAATGAGTTCAGCATTCCCCAGAAGCCTATTGTGTTTCCTATATATTACACTATAAATATGAGGAGTATCAAACTTTGCATCCCTGCAAAAAAAAGGAGGTAAATCTTGCAACTACACATAGGATTAGCACTGGCTGGCACAAGTATTAATGGTCTCATTGCTGCATGAGGATTATTTACAGCACTTGCTCTATTTTCCCATTTTGTACTTGCTGTGATGAAGTGCCACTTGTTTAAAGAACCCTGTAACAAACACTGCAGCAAGAGGGGGGAAAAACCAGCAGAGATCTACAAATGTTACACCCACATGCCAGATGTGGGTTTTCAGACCCTGGTTTCACAGTTACTTGGATTTTGGTAGGTAGTTGACGCTCGATATATTAAAWCACCCACCTTCTCTTCCCATAACCACAGTTCCTCCTTCAGTGATTTTACGAGTTTGCAGAATGAAAGAATGAGCTGCATTTCTTTTTCTGCATATTTGACCCATAGCATCTTATCCCCATATTCTAGCATTAACATTACTTGTTTGGAAAGCAAGTCCTTTTCTAGTCAGTCAGATTTATGTTACAAAAGAGGTATTTTTATTCCACTAAGTCAAATGATGTCTCAGTTTTACAAGGGGCAACAGAAAGCACTGCTGTGTGACTCGTGGCTTTGAGGCACTGTCACACATGCCCAGCTTTATTAAAATTGGCAGCTGGGCAAGCGCGGACCAACCGGCTAAAGAAGACCAGGTGAAAAGAAGGAAAAGTAACTCCAGGCACACATGTGGTACCTCCTACCCTTAATATCAGCCTCACGCTCAGCACAAGGAGGCCAGCASAATGTTTTTACGAACTAAATACATCCACGGGATTTGGGGACCACTGAAAAGCAACAGATCCGGCAAGGCGACAGATGACAGCTCGCAGCTCGACCCCCGGGGAGGATGAAGGCAGGTTAGAGCCAGTTTTAGGTCAAAGGCAGAAAGCTAATTCCTGCAAGCAGGGGGTCGGGGCGGCTAGGCAGCGGGCCAGGCTCCGGCCGAGGACCAGCACGGGGTGCGGAGCGCAGGGATGGCGGGTCCCAGCGGCGGGGAGCCCTCGGCAGCAGAAGGGATGCCCTCGGCAGGAGCAGGGATGCCCTGGGCAGGAGCAGGGATGCCCTCGGCAGGAGCAGGGAGGGATGCCCTCTGCTGCTCCTCCGCCGCAGCAGCTGGGCGTGCTCCGGAGCGCGCCCCGACCCACAGACCCGAGCGCTCCATATTAGGAATCCCTAATCCAGAATGGTGTTATTGTTCTTCAACRGCAGAGATGCAGCGTGCGAAGCCAAGGCAGCGAGCGCTGTGCCCTTCGCCTACACCCATCTTGCGGGCTACGACAACCTCCYTGCACTCAAGGAGCAGAGGCACCCTGCATAAACTTAGCTTGGAGATGGCCTTTTTTTTTGTCCCAGGGAACCCAAGTAAGCAAGCTAGTGGTTAGGGGAAGTTTGAACCATCTCCAAAACCATTTCAGAGAGTTCTGTCTCTTTCTCTCTTTGCTAAAGACAGGCAGAGCACATGAAAAAAACATACACACACAAATTACAGACATGGAAGCGTAACTGCAATTCTAGCACAGATCTCGTTTCTAAATTGGCAGAGTAGGTATGTATGTGACAATTCTCAAGACAGTAAAATTGCCAGCCTTGCCGCTTCTTCCTTCAATAGCATTAATGCCAGCAGAAAATCATACCAATGAAAAGGCAAATCAAAACAGCTCTGAGGTTGCTCTGTACATACACAGGCAAAAAGCAGCATGAGGGTGCTGTGTCGTATTTTCCACAAATGTTCCTATCAACTCATCAGCACTTAAGCCTGGCACATGGTTTGCAGCAAAAAAGCGTAAGTGGCATTTGAATTGTCTTGTATTCTGCTTTCCCCAAATTTGTAGGAAGGAATCTTGCATTGCTACAGCATCTCTCACCCAGCACTGGGATCCCAAAGGACTTTACAGAACTGCACACAGTCATCCCTGGGGCAAGCACTTGTGGGACAGGACAGAACCACACGTTTAACGGTTCACGGGGTACAAAACGCAGGCAAGAGAGGGGACTCCAGGAGGAGTTTGAGAGGCAGCACAAAGCAATCAAATTGCATTTCACGGCAGCAGGGACTGCCTTCCCTCTACATTTCAACGCTCTCTTCGAGAGCCAAGCACAGCACTTTGTTTCTGCAGCCTACCTTACCCCAGGCTGTCATTGTGCAAGCTCAGCACAGACCCGTGTTAACTCCCTACCCTCACGGTTCCCCTCCGAGACACCCGCCGATCCCAGCAGCAGCCCTGGACGGCCGCTCGCTTCCAAAGTTGTAGCCGGAGCCCAGCGCGGAGCTGCCACTGCCCGCTGCTCCCACCGCTCCCACGCCCCGGCCGGAGCCCGCGCCGCGCCCCGGGGCACGGCGAGCAACGGTCACCGGGGTGCTGCGGGTAGAGGTGAAACCCTGATTTATTTTACGCATATAGATATATAGCTATTTACATGGGGATTTTTTGCCACTCCTCCCTCCCAAACACAGGAGCAGCGCGAGCAGTGGCAACTCGCGGGGACAGGCGCTTGACATCACCAAGGTGTGCTCCTCCTGGACACCCGGCGAAGGACGGCGCCCATCGAGGGTCCCGTCCCGACCCGACCCGCCCGGGGTCACCCGCGCTGTCCCGTTCCGCCCCTCCTCGCCGGCGACGGGCACTTACCGAGGAGCAGCAGGGAGGCGAGCTGCGGCCGCAGGGTCCGCATGGCTGCCGGGGCGCGGGGCGGCGGCCGCCCTTACCTCCCGCCGCGGGGCGCCGCGGGGCGCCGGCTCCCGGGGCAGGCGT